GCCACTATCTTCACCCGCCACCACCATGCCGCCACTATTCTCACCCGCCACCACCTCCGTCGCTATCGCCACTATCTTCACCCGCCACCACCATGCCGCCACTATTTTCACTCGCCACCACGACCGTCGCTATCGCCACTATCTTCACCCGCCAACACTATCTACACCGCCACTATCACCACTGATGCTACTGCCGATACTATTAATGCCTTATATATGAATTTTAGGACATCCATGTGACAGTTGCAGCCATCTCTGCCTGAGTAATCCAAATGGACGCATCTGCGCATGTCCAGACAAAACTCCATCGGGTGGCAGCTGCAAAAGTTATCCTTTCTATACAACGACAGCACCTCCTACAACAACATCACCTCCTACAACAAAACCACCTCCCACAACAACAGCACCTCCCACAACAACATCACCTCCTACAACAACATCACCTCCCAGAACAACACCACCTCCCACAACAACATCACCTCCCAGAACAACACCACCTCCCAGAACAACAACACCTCCCAGAACAACACCACCTCCCAGAACAACACCACCTCCTACAACAGCCCCTACGAGGGCAACTACTACGAAGCCAACAGTGCCACCGACTGAATTCACGGGAACCTGCACCCCCAATCCATGTGAAAATGGTGGTACCTGCGAGCCTAGTGAGGATGGTCAGAGTTACAAGTGTTACTGTCCGGCGTTGTATTATCCTCCTCAGAGCTGCAGCACATTCGTCGGTAAGTTGTAAAAAATTCAGACCAACACGGCATGCATAGATAGATGTAGAGAACTTGAAAATTTCCACCATTCCACTATAACGTCACAGCATTTTTAMCTGRGGCAGAATCACASAAAATAATAAGAATTTGCTCTAAATTTGTATAGCTAGATGTGAGAGTAATYTGGTTGGAATTCGGTACATGTTCGCATTTTTGTATGTAGCCCGGTTTTTCCCGTTTATTGGGAAATTAGTCTTTGCAAAATATAGACAAATTTCTAATACAATGGAAACTGCAATGTTTCTGTTCGCTCATTAAATGAACTGCTTGATTTGAGGTTTTGGATACATCTGCGAAATGGGCTATTGAAATATCTTTCTTTTAATGATTGACAGGCGAAGGTGTAGTAGCAGTGGTTATTTTGGGCATTATCCCGGTAAGTGTTTAATATAATTTTGCTTCTTCCCTATGTGGACACCATACAACTAAACATCTTTTTCAGGCTGTTTTTCAAGCAGCAAGCATTTATTGTTTCTCGGATAGGCCTTTGAATATACACTGGATTACACAGCTATCTAATATATCCTCGACGACGTGATTTTTGCAAAGAACCTTCTTAGTTTTCATCGTCATCGGCCATCTTGACGCTCTCACCAATACCATGATGCACTTCGACGAAGCAAGCATGACGTCATTAGTTAAGGRGCCATTCCCTTCTGGGTTTCTCGGGCCAAAACTCTCTCGGAGCGGCTAGGACCGACTGGCTACGCARGCTATAAAGGCAGTATGTTTAAAATACTTGTATAATTTATTTGTCAGGCAGATGAGATTTATTTGGTTGAGGTCTACATCGTAGAAGCTGTGTTTGGGGAAGAWCAGCCGTAAGTTTTTGTTTTTTCCTTATTGTTCGTTTTTGCTAGTTTTGATCTTGCATAAAAACGTGGTTGCACGCTCACCACAGGCAACCCAATCGATAAGGCTGTTGTTAGCTTCGATGTTTTTCTTTCCTTTTTTGTCTGTCTGTTCCCTATTTAGATCAGCAAAGGTTTGGAAATAACTAATGAAATAAACGACAAAGACAAAAAATTACGACGTTTCGAGATCGACATGATCTCATTCTCAAGTGATATATTTTATTTGCTGTAGTTGATTTTTATAACAGTTTATCAAAATTTACATAAAAATGTCTAAAAATGTTTAAACTGAAAAAGACAAACATTCCAGCACTGCCATATTAC